GTCCCACCAAGATATTTTACTTGCAGCTGAAAACTGAACGCCTGAAAATATTTGGATGATTGTCTGAATAGTTATTATTACAAATAATTCTAATAACTGTCTATATTATATACAAAGATTTTTTTAAATTATCATCCAAACCCAAGACTTTTTAGTTCTCTGGGAAGATAACATAGGAAAAATCAGAAGAACTGTCCTCCTTTTATAGTGTTTTGCTCATAACAACTCATTTGGCATAAAAATACTAGGAAAGCTGTGTAAAAGCAATTATGGTAGGGCTTTTTGCTTCTCAGTTTCTAAGCACTAATAATTCAAGTGTGAACTTTCTTGGCAAACATTATCAATGAATTAGTGGTAGACTTATGTCCGACCATACAACTGGCCTCATTTCAAACACATCATTGCAATGGATAATCTGGATATCTCATGAAATGGGGAGAGGAAAGAAAGACAGGGAAACAGAACAACTTCTCCAAGTTTATGTTTGGAGCCTTTATGTCAAGGTGAAGGGATGGTCACGTTGACCCTATATATTCAGTGCTTGAGATAACCTGAAAAAGGGGGGGGGGGGATGGATGTTAAGATTCATGCCAACATCTGTCAATCCTTGGTTAATTGCCATCTATCTCCCTACAACCTCCCTGTGAGGACAGGATAGTATTTGGACACCAAGGGGAGAGAAGGACAACACTGACTTCGGCAGCTATGCTGACTCACTAATGCCACGTAAGAAAGAAAAACGTGCACCTTCTCTTTACAAATATTATTTCCTGGCTTGAAGCTGGTGGCAACCTATTGCATTTGCAGCATCACCTTTTTGAATCAAATTAGTCCTTTCACCTGAAAAGGAGAAGTGAGCAAGCCCTTTTTATTTGCTTGGATCTAGAGGAGGAAAAAGATCTAAAAATCAACAGCAAATCTAAAATATTTTTGTTGCTCCAGGAGCCATACACACACTCTCCAAAAGCACATTTTAACTAGAAAATATCTGAGAGAATTCTTCCCATGCTTTTGTAAAAAGTATAATTTTTTTGGTACATCAGTGCACTGTATATCTCCAAATTTGCTTCTGTGGAAAAAACAAGCACACCATCTTAAATGTAATGTATTACCTGAGGAGAAATAGTTCCGTTCCGGGTCAAGTGTGAGAGAGAATTAAACGGCAAGTGTCACTTTCCTGTTCTCCTATTTCTCCCTCGTGTTCACCCCCTTTTTATAAAGACAGGGCACTACTACTACACAAGCAAGCTGTGTATGTTAAAACATACAGCTGGAGAG